GTGACAAATTGTTACTGTTGGCTAAATGTCACTGTACTTGCAGATCTGGTACTCCTCCCTGTGGTCAGCAGCTCTCCTGTCGCCCCCAATGTGATGGATATAGGTTTCAGCAGTGTGGAACAATACAGGTTTAAGCATGCTAAGAGGCTTGCCATTCTTCCAAAGGATAGATGGTGATACCGTCGGGGCGGTTTGCTGGGTTCGTGGGTATTGTTTGATGCTAGTGATCGTGGCTCCCTCTCGAAGAAGGGCACTCCAAGCGGGAGCAAGGGTTCTCTTAACTGATGTCGTTGTCCTCTTTGTTGTCTTGCATGCCAAGCACCTTGGTGGTGGAACAAGGTTGGACCCCTGAAGACCGTACTTGGTATGCTTGCAACTTCGACGCAATCTACACAATATTTTTCTGTGTGAATTGGTGGCAGCAAGGGCGCAGTAGCCATGCATAATACGGAGGGTATTTGGGTAGGAGTCGCGTTCCCATTGACCGATATGGGAACTGTTTGGAGGTAGTCCCGGAGTGAGGTGCACTCCTCAGCGGAGACGGGCATACTCCCTATCTGTGTGGCAGCCTGTGCTGTTGGCAAGCCACCTTTTCAGCAATTGGGCTATCCAAGCTTGAATGTTGGTGAGACTGTGCCTGCATCTAGGGTTTGGTTGCTGGAGCAGCAAGATAAGAGTCTTCCATTCGGTGAGGCCACATGAATAAGCTAGGGTCTTCTTTTCCTGACTGAGTCACCTGAGGGTGTCAGGAGAGAATTTGTCCTTATCAACTCGTTGATGAAGGAAGAGGATAGGAAAAGCTGGTAGAGCATATCTGGGAGGATCTGCGTACTCCTATGCCTCATGCTGACCGGACAGTGAGGCATTGCAACCACTGTCCATCGACATGGGAGAAAAGGAGTTTCAATTACCACTCTCAGCATGGGCTTCTGGTGAGAGTCAATATTCCTTGAGTTTTTGGACTGTGAAGCCTGGGCGGCTTCTCAGAAATAGGTAAGTTTTGGGTGACAGGAACCTGGTGTGTAGGTTAGAAGGCTTTCGGTGTGTGATCAATTCTTCTCATCCTGCTTTCAATCGTCCTGAGGTATGAGACTCCCACCAGGGGGCCCCTTTTTTTTCTAGGATCAGATCGTTGGATTGACCACAAGAGGAGCACGTGGAGATTGCTATTGGCTGGATCAAATGGCTCGTGCTCCTGGAAAATCGGTACTTAATATTTGGATCAACTGTTGATTGGTAGAAAATTATTTCACATTTGGTGGGGGTTTAATAGAGAGTCACGGCTTTTCTCCCATGTCTTTAATTTTACTGATGTCCTCCAGGAGAGTTCTTTGTCGCCAGCTAGGGTTCCGTCGATCCAGAAACCAGATATTGTAGTCGCTGGAGAGTGCCTCACGTGACTTCCTTGATGACCAAACAAAATAGAAAGGGGGCGACGAGGGTCCCCTGTTTGCACAGCCCTCACTCGACTGTTCAATTTCATGGTCCCAAACATTAGTTGGAAGTACACTATAACACGATTCTATGAAGGATAAAGGGAAGGGGAAGTTTCTTAAAACTGCTTGGAGAGCAGGCATCCCTTCTGACTGAGTTGAATGCCATTGGCAAAGTCAATTTCGACAAAGGCTTTTTCATAGCATGTTTTGGATATATTACTCGTGCTGCTTGGCAGCTGCTTCACAGCCATGTTGAACGCCGAAACCGTGGCTGAGTTTTGGTTTTCAGAATTGACAGCAGCCTCTTGATCACCTTCTTACCGCCCAGCCCTTGCCGACTTAGGCGCCGAAGGGTTCGTTACCAACTGCAATGGGCCTGATTCGCCATCCTTTTTCGCGAGGGCACACAATGACTGGCAAAAAGAATAAGCGGGTTTATGGGCCTCTGGGGACACTCGCCCAGCAGGCACAGGTTGGACCAAAATTGGTGAGTATCAGACAGAGACTCTCTGAAACCTCACCAGTGCGGATTGGAGTATGGTTTAAGTGTTGAGGCCTCTTTCCGTAAACCAGGTGTGATGAAACCTCCTGCTGATGCCTGTTGGATAATGACATAGCAGATTTATACACACATCAGCAATCCTGTATAAGGTTAGATGTTCTTCGCCCTGCTTGCATATGTCTGGGAGGTCAATGTTGGTACTGGAGAGCCCTGGGTGGGGGTTTGTCCTTCAGAAGATTTTGCGCAGTGCTGACGTCCTTGGGAGCGATGGTATCCGCACTGGTTATAAGTGCTCAAGGCTCCACATAGTATTTCCCTATTTCTATTTTTTGCTAATTTGGGCTCTGATTTATTGATGTGGCTGTAGGGTGTTGTCTGTTTGTTTGTTGGCATTTGCCCGGCGGGGGGGTGTTGTCGCCTAGGGGTGGTGACGGACGAGAGTTGTATCCTTGGGAAGGCATTATTGCACTAATAAACTGTGTTGCGAGTGACTTGTCCTCCTTGGTGGGACAGCCAAACAGGCATTGCAAAAAGCAGCAGTGTATGCCAGGAGCTGTTGGTTTGAGGAGCATCAGTTGACTTTATCAGAAGGTTTCAGTGAATCTTGTAGCAGCTTGTGGGCGAGCTCTTGCTTTGGGGATGTGTGTCAGGTCCTGGTGGATGTTTTTAATTTTGATTGCAGATTTGAGGTCTCTGTAGACGGTGAAGTAACGGTAGCTGTTAGCCTGTCTGCTGGGGAGGCTGTTGCGTTGTTCTCATTTGGAGATCTCCTGGATCCTAGGCATCTTTGTTGTGCAAGGAAGTTGCCAGATGTGGGATGAGGGCAATCATTCCCTGTGGCACACCCGGCAAAGGCCCTCGTGTAACGACTGCTTTCGGCTCTGTCGTGAAGATTCCTGGGCAACCGCGGTACTGCTTGTGACATTGCTGATTATCGTGGGGGTGGAGGGGCGCTGTGGTGGTGGACGGCGTGAAGGGCAGCATGGATGCAATGGGGTGTGAGGCGGTGAGCGGGAGTAGCGAGCGGCGGACTTGTATATTGGTGGGGACATATCGGCAACACCTGGTCAGCGCGAAGTCATTTGGGCCTAGGCTGGGCATGAGGGGAGTATGGATCTGGGATGGGGGGGGGTACGGGAGGGAGGGAGTGGACCTGTGTGTTCGCTCAAGACAGCAAATACACTGCTAACTTTGTAATTGTTATACACTTATTGTTCAATTAGAAAAAAACCTCGCCTTGTGCACACTAATCCCATGCTCAATCATCTTTAACCGAGGTGTTCTGTTCACCATCCAATAGACCAACCCGTGTGAGTGGGCGGCCACTTCCTTCCCAAACCAACGACCCCGGCGAACAGATGTAAACCCACAAACCCCCCTCCCTCTCCACCTCACTTGCCAGGAGCCCTCACCACCGGCTACTTCCCAAATCCTACATGCACATTACACTTTTCACTGATACAGAAGCGATGTTCCGATGTAGGGTTTGTCACAAACTTGTGATCTCCCGGTCGATTACTCACGATGATGTCCTGCCGGAATACTTGGCCGACGTAAACCAGTTGGTTCATGGTTTAAACACGAATGTTATGGGCACCACACACTGCGCTCCCTCCCTCAGCCGGCAAGCGCGTATGCTGTCGTGATGTATTATCTACCCCCCCCACCATGCATTGGTTAAGGTTACAAAAGAATGTTATATAAGCAGCATTTCTTAAATTAAATCGTGGCCTCACTGGGCGGGGTCTCTGAAGTTGGATGGTTGCGGCTATAGCAGTAAAGTCATCGACTTTACTGAAGCAGTGAGCAATTCTGTTAATGCATCTCTGGTCAGTTTAACAAGTGGACTTTATTACAGTCGATTAGTATGCATAACTCAGCTGCTCTAGAACACTGTTTCAGAAGTGCTGCTCGATTTTGTCAAGGTTTTCTTCAGTAACTAACGTTCTCCCTTTTATCTCGTGCAATGGCTCTGCAACAATTCCTCTGGACTTACGTCTTCCCACTATCATCTTTTTGAGCCTCATTCACATCTTCTTCCTGCATCTTATCTTTAAAAAACCATCACCCTGGTAAAATCTCTTGCCACCTGATCTCAAGTCAGGGATTACCTCTTGAAGAGTATTTCCACAACTAATCCACAACTTTTCCCAGGCTGCATTCAATGTGATTGGTTAATACTTCACTCCATGTATTTCTAACACAGCTGGATTACTTGTGCATTGTTCGGGTTTAGGCTCCAAAAGTTTGGTACTGCCATGGGGGGTTTTTGTCAGCGAACATTAAAATACAAGTTTACATAATCCCACGTTTTCAAGTGTATTTTACACTTTAAAGTAGCTAATAACTACGATCAAGTGGAGTATTATGGAGGAATTTAGAGATCATAATACAACTTATAACATGTCGGGTCCACATCCAACAAACCTTCCTGGATGAGTGCGGATGTTCAAAGATGTTGAGAGAACTTGAGTGCAAGACTTTGCTTGTCGAGTAAAAACTGACTTCAGGTATGTAATACTTTTAAACAGTCAATAAACTTCCTATGTTATTTATCGCTGGTGGTTGACTCCATATTAATCAGTAAGGTGGTTTTACCTACACCTTTCAAAGCTTGAGGGTTCTTTGAAGCTGGTAAATTATCAGGGTATTACTCTTTTAGTTAACCGATGCATTGTGTTTACGACTTAGTCATTTTAAGTAAGAAATTATATTATTTATATACGTTTTTTTGGCTTTTTTTTCCACTTAATATTTAATCCAGGAGTCATTTCCATTAATAGCTAAAACGAATTTATTCGACTTCATAACATATCAGGCAATAATTGTTAGCTTTGTACATGTAGGTAGTTGTTTATTAGTATTGTAAACTGCTGTTGCGGTAATGAGTTACGCACAAACAAGACAGTTTAAACTACAACCAACAGGCAGTTTAAACTACTTCAAACGCTAATTAGAGACTAAGTTGGCTGGATGAAGCCTTACCTGTTCAGTTCATACCTTCCAATGGTCCAAGGAAGGGTCGAGTGGAACTTTGGCTTAAGTCACATACGCTTCCCCAGTTTTTGCCCAGGATTTTGGAAGTCCTTCACAAGAGATATATCGCGTCTACGACTGCCCGGCCAGGGAACTCTTGAGAAAACATAAGGATAAGTGGAACGAGCTAAGAGTACGGCCGTAAATAGATTGGTCTAGAAAAGGGCGGGAAGAACTCTGTTTTTTTGTATCAGTGTGGCGTTTAAAATTGTATAAAGCGAGTGTGCACTTACCTAATCATTTTGATCACCCTGAGAATGCGTCTAGAAACTCTATAAAGAGCTATTTAAAAATTAAATAATTTAAGTATTACACTGATGTGATAATAGGTTAAAAATGTGTGTTTCATCAAGATTATTACGATATGTGAAGATCTCTTTTAAAGATTGAATATTTAATTGTCCATTAATAAAATTTAAAGTGGTGATTGAATAATGTTTATATAACAAACACGGAAACCTAAAAGAGTACTTTACATCAGTGAGTGAAACCCTGTGATTATGATGACCCTTTGACAAGTGAACCCTGTGTATTATGATCCCTTAGACAAGTGATCCCTGTGTATTATGACCCTTACGGACAGTGAACCTGTGTGATGATGCCTTTGACATAGTGAACTGTGTAGATGACCCTTTGACAAGTGAACACTGTGTTATGATGACCTTAGACAATGTGAACCATGTGTTTTGATGACCCTTATACATAGTGAACACTGTGTATGATGACCCTTAGACAAGTGAAACCCTTGTGCTATTATGACCTTAGACAAGTGACCCTGGTGTATTACTGACCCTTAACAAGTGTACCCTGTGTATTGATGACCCTTAGGACAAGTCGAACCCTGTTGTATGATGACCCTTAGCATGTGAGCCTGTATATGATGACCTTAGACAAGTGAAAACCAGTGTATTATTCCACTAGAAAGTGAACTGTGTTTTAGACCTTAGACAAGTGAACCTCTGTGTAGATGACCCTTGGACACGTGCGAAACCCTGGTGTATTAGGAACTTAGACAAGTGAACCTGTGTATGATGACCTTAGACAAGTGAACGCCTCGTGTATTATGACCTAGACAAACGTGATCCTGTGTATAGATTTACAATTAGAAAATTGTGAACCCTGTGATATTGATTACCCTTAGAAAGTGACATATGCAATGATGACCTCTTCAGACAAGTGAACCCTGTGTATGATGGACCACCTTAGACAAGGTGTATCCCTATGTATGATGACCCTCAGACAAGTGATCCACTGTGTATTATTGACCCTTAGACAAGTGAACCCTGTGTATGATGACCCTTGACTATAGTGAAACACTGTATATGAGTGACCTTAGACCAGTGAAGCCATTGTGTTTTATGGAACCCTTAGACAAGTGAAGACCCTTGTGTATGATTCCTAAAGACAAGTGAACCTCTGTGTACAATGTCCACTTGACAAGTGAACCTATGTATGAGACCCTTAGACAAGTTGGAACTGTTGTATGATGACCATAGACAAGTGAACCATGTGTATGATGGAACCCGTGAAACGGTGAACCCTGTGTATGATGACCCTTGGGCGAGTGAACTGTGTTTTATGACCTTAGACAAGTGAACCCTGAGTATTATGACCGTAGACAAGTGCAACCCTGTTGTATTTGACCCTTAGATATGGTGAACCCTATGTATGATGACCCTTAGACAATGTTGAACCCTGTGTATGATGACCCTTAGACAAGTTGAACCTGTGTATTAAGACCCCTTAGACAAGTGAACATGTGTATTTGACCCTTAGACAAGTGAACCTGTGTATGATGACACTTAGACAAGGTGAACACTGTGTATGATGACCCTTAGACAAGTTGAACCTGGTTGATGACAATTAGACAAATGTTTGAACACTGTTTGTTTTTGATGACCCTTGACATGTGAACCTCTGTGTATGCATGGACCCTTAGACAAGTGAACATGTGTTATTATGAACCTAAGACAACACTGTCGAACCCTCGTGTATTATGACCTTAGCGACAAGTGAACCCTGTGTTGATGACCCTTTGTTACAAAAAACGCGATTCTAAAAGCTATAGCAGGATCTCCAGTGATATAATAGAAAGGGACTGACCTTCTAGCATCCCCGCCTGTACTGAGGTTTTCGTAACTAGTAGTACATGTATCCTTGTCAATTATCATTAAAAAAATTCAGTCATGGTTCAATAGTGCTTAGGATTACAATGGTTAGGCTATCTAACTAGGAAATTAAAATTTAATAAATTTATTAAGTATTTAAGTTGTCTAGAGGTATATTATCAAATTAAATATTACATTACAGTAAACAAAATAAATCAATCTATCGGTTCGCAGTAGTATTGTGCTGTAGGCACATATCACATTTATAATTCTTAAGTACCGTCTGGTACATTAACATTTAATAATACAATACACAAATAAGTTTGTATGTATGTGTGTAAGTGTTCTAAGTAGTTCACTATGTCTCACGACTCGACTAGACTTAAACAAGTGACTGACAAAGTCCTCAAACAAACTAACTTCTTGACCAACTGGCAGTCAGAACAGTCTGCTTGAACAATAAAACGACTGTTAAGCCCAATAGCAATATAACAAGCAAAAGTGACACAGAATCAGGAACAAGGGGATAATATAACGACAGCTAGTAGGGTATCTGCAGATCCTCCACAAAAGTCACAAAACTCCCATACTACTGAATCTAAGTTCAGCATAAGAAAATCCCCGACTGTGACAGTACACAGATACCAATACAAATTAGGTCAGAAGCTACAGCTCAGGACCTGAGTTGCTCAGAGTGTCTATGCGACACACAACCTCAGTACAACGTCGAAAATTACTAAGTCTATGCAATGTTCTGTGAACAGAGTCTCCAGAACTAACAACAATAATAAGAAAGAGACGATCTTCCAATAAGGGAGATTTAGGCTCGTCTTGTCTAGAATACGTCCAACCACCAAGCGAGTCTGGACCAGACTGAATACTTCAGGTGAGGTGAGTACACCCCCTCCTCTATCACGTGATAGCTCTGTGGACAGTTGCTGCCCAGCAATGCTGAGAAGCCGGCAGGGAAACAAGCACCAGCGATAATTACAGTAGTTAGACAATCAAGACTTGAACTATGAGCACATAATAAAATGTTACATCCTACCTAACAAAAGTAACTAAGTCAAATAATAATATAAAGCAATATATTTACGATTTAGCTATTATCGCAAATATAAGCAATATAAAATTATATGAAAAGGTGATATACATTATATACATATACATAATGTACATCATATACGTTGTAACCCATTCAGGGGTTGCAACATGATGACCCTTTAGACAAGTGAACCCTGTGTATTATGACCCTTAGACAAGTGAACCCTGTGTATGATGACCCTTAGACAAGTGAACCCTGTGTATTATGACCCTTAGACAAGTGAACCCTGTGTATGATGACCCTTAGACAAGTGAACCCTGTGTATGATGACCCTTAGACAAGTGAACCCTGTATATGATGACCCTTGGGCGAGTGAACCCTGTGTTTGATGACCCTTGGACGAGTGAACCCTGTGTATTATGACCCTTAGACAAGTGAACCCTGTGTATGATGACCCTTAGAAGAGTGAACCCTGTGTATGACCCTTAGACGAGTGAACCCGGTGTATGATGACCCTTAGATGAGTGAACCCGGTGTATGATGACCCTTAGAAGAGTGAACCCTGTGTATGATGACCCTTAGACGAGTGAACCTTGTGTATGATGACCCTTAGACGAGTGAACCCTGTGTATGATGACCCTTAGACGAGTGAACCCTGTGTATGATGACCCTTAGACGAGTGAACCCGGTGTATGATGACCCTTAGACGAGTGAACCCTGTGTATGATGACCCTTAGAAGTGTGAACCCTGTATATGATGACTCTTAGACGAAATAATCCTGTTCTTTTTGTGAATTTGTTAGGAGATTCATTACAACAAATTGGTCTAGAGGCGACGGTCGTAACACATTACCTCAATCTTGGAATCCCTCTGCACTTTTCTCTTACTGACTGAGGTAAGTTCTCATTGACATTTTCTCCCGAGAAAGACTTTTTTCATCAGCATTAACACTTGCTCTGGCTCCTAGTAATCAGCAAAAATAATTTACTGAAATTCTTCAGGAAAATTACTTGTTCCTGTGTAATCAACTATAATAATTTCACCAGAACACTTAACATCGGTGTTAAACACAGTCTGGCTCAGTTGTGTCTTCCTCATCACACTGTGCAAGACAACTCTGAAGCTTTTTTCCCTGATTAAGATGCAATTAATTAGTGCACCTTTGTTTTTTGGTTCAGTTCACTCAATAACTTCTCTGTCTTATTTACCTTTTGTGATCTATGTTCATTCTCCTCACCAGGTGACAACCTGGGTTATTCCTTACACAAACCCATATATTTGCCTTATTCCTTATGACTAAACAAACTGATGATTCAATCCATAAGCTCTTGCCTTCACCCAACGTGCACTACTACTAAGCTTACCTGGAGAGGGTTTCAGGGGCCAACGCCCCCCACGGCCCGGTCTGAGACCAGGCTTATTTAATATGTTGATCTTATTCTTAACACAAAGACTTGAGCACTTAAAGTTTTTCTTGCTAGTTGCAGCATCACGCTTGTCAGGTGTAATCGTATGGGAAAAGTTTGTACTGACTAGAGATGTATCGTGACTCAGCATCCACATCCTCGGAACTTCCGCACAATTTCTTACATCCGTATCCGAGTTTTATTGTAAACAGACATCCGTATATGCATCCGCATCCACAAAATTAGTAAGAAATCCTCATACACATCCGCATCCGCTGATATCTAAATTTTCACATCCGATACATCTCTAGTGCAGACCACGGAGACGTGAGAGGTAGGACTGGGGAGGCAGTGCAGACCACTGAGACGTGACAGGCAGGACTGGGGAGGCAGTGCGGACCACTGAGACGTGACAGGTAGGACTGGGGAGGCAGTGCAGGACCACTGAGACGTGAGAGGTAGGACTGGGGAGGCAGTGCAGACCACTGAGACGTGACTGGAAGGACTGAGGAGGCAGTGCAGACCACTGAGACGTGACAGGCAGGACTGGGGAGGAAGTGCGGACCACTGAGA